AATTGAAGATTCGAATCTGGGAGCCCGACTTTTGGACTAATACACTGTCTTTCAGCCTGATATTGTCATTGTTTTAGGGTATTATGATAAAAAAATAAATTACCGAAGCAAAAACAATGTAAATTTTTCATTTTACATGATATTACCCAATGACAAAATGCCTTGAAAAAACTTTTGATTTTTTCTAATATGAATTTTTTGTTGTTTCTAGTATTTTCCAAAATATGTTTTTTGAAAAATTTATCATTTTCTTGTTTTTCTGCATTTCTTTTACTTCTTTGCTATAATATGTAAATTTTTGAATAGTCTATCATTTTATGTATTTTGCAGTTTCTATTTTTATCCAAATTTTATATTTGCCTGACTTTTTTGTCTTTTCCAATTTACTTGTAATTTTTTTTTTGCAATTTCTGATGTTTATCTTTTTTATGTATTTTATATTTGAAAATAATTTTTTAACTTTTTACCATTTTTCATATCCTTTTAGTTGAAATATATATGTGTGTATTTTCTGTAATTTTTTGTAAGTTTTTATATTTTATGATTTTTTATAATTTCTTTTTTTTTTGCAATTTTTGGTGTTTTACATGAAATATATATTATTTACCATTTTCTATGTTTTCTATATTTTTAGTTTTTATTTGAAACTTTTTATATTATTTTATGTTTTTATGCAATTAAAATAAAGAAAAAAAAAGCTACTTCTAATTGGAGGGTCAAATGGGTGGGTTAGGGTGGGTCAGGTCAGAGTGGGTTGTGACCGACAGACTTGGGTGAAAAATAGGTAAGCGGGTCAATATGAGTGGGTTGATGCTCAATCCACACCCAACCCACCCATTTTTCATCCCTATTGCTCCGTCAATGGGATTGATGGAGAAGATAAAATTACTAAAATGCCCTTTAGCTTAATTAAAAACGGTATGTTGTTCACCATATTCTATGTAAAACATCACAAACAAGGGAATGAAGGTGATAATCCAACCACTAAAGCCTCGGGAGGGGGGCGAGGTTCTATATCTTCTCTTTTATTCTCCATTTTCTCTTATTCCTCTTTCCTCCTTTCTTCCTCTTTTCCATTTCCCGCATTTAGTGATCATTGTTCATCTTTAACCTTTTGAACTCCAAACGATAGGGCAACGACCTCTCTCTCTCTCTCTCTCTATCAAAGCAATTTATTTTATCTACCTTAAGGTTGTGTTTGGTTTAAAGGAAAAAGTAGAGAAAAGAAGGTATAGGTTTCCCTACATTTCCCCTCCTTTCCCTACCTTTTCCTTCACACCAAACACAGCCTAAATGATTTGCATGTTTTATTTAAATATAAATTATATGTTAAAATGGAAACATATTTTTTATTTAAAAAATAGTTATTATTTATATAAATACAAAATATTTCCCAGCAAAATTAATATAAATAAAAAATTAATTGAATGATTTATATATTTGATTTTACAATTATGCGTGAAATAAAATAATTAGATGTTAAAAATAAAAACATATTTATTATTTCAAAAAAGGAGTTATTTTTTATATAAAATACTAAAAAATAAATTTTGTAACAATTTTAATAACAATTGAAAATTATAATTAGAAAATCTGAAATAGAACGATAATTATCGTATGGTATGTACATGTTCTAGAGTCCTAGTATTGTTGATTGTAATGTTTCTATTTATTTTTGAAATGCGCCTCTAGGCAAATTCATTGTTGCTTATCCTCCAAAAAGTGCGGGAATAATGAAATATGGAACAAGCATATTTTGTAAGGACATGGGAACCTTATTTCCTGTACCAAGAGTAAATAATGGGATTTGTAAACCCTCTTAGTAGTTTATTGCAATCAAGGTACGATGGTGATGACTATTTTTAAGCGACAAGCTACCACAATAGTATGGTCCAACAAGAGTGAGATCACACATTGAGCAGCTCCTAAGCATAAAATTGAACACTCAAAGCACAAAGCAAAAGTAAGCAACAAACCCTCAAAAGCTAAAGCTCAAACAACCTCATGTGTTTATACCTTATTTATAGATAATTCAGCTTTAGATTTATTATCATTAATGCATTTATAAGATCTATATGCACTTCCTTAGTGTATTGAACATTTTTCATTTCACTATTTGCATTTGAGTCTCATAAATAAAAACAATTAAAAATAGTAAAATAATTATTGGACCTATGACTATATGAACCTTGATTCAAAGGAAAAAGGGGCAGCCTTTGAGTCATTTTTTAAGGAAAAACTCTAAATTAGTACCTTGTACTTTAGGGGTAGTATCAGTTTAGTACCCAAACATCAAAATGTGCCATTGCAGTACCTGAACTCTCAAAAACTCTTAATTTAGCCCAAAAATGTAAAAGAACGTTAAGTGCCATGTAAAAGGACAAAAATACCCTTCACGTGTCACCTAATTTTCTTTATCTACCACTCTCACATAAACCAACTTAAACAGAACCCAACTAGTATCAACACCCAATTTTTGCTTGGTCCTTTGTCTAAACCCAGTGAAACCAAATAGCCCAAATCTTAAACCCCAAAATCCTCAAAGTTCATTGTTGATCCCACTTGATACCCTTAAATCCTCAAAATACTCCTTTTGCCAAATGACTAAAATATCCTTTCTTTCCAAATTCCCAAAGTATCCTTCTTCCAAGTACCCAAATTACCTTTTCTTTTCTAATCACTTGAATACCCCTCTAAACTCACCCTCTTCGAATCCCAAAAATTACCAAATTGCCCTTCTTATCAAATTACCCCCAAAATCATAATATACAAAATTACCCTTCGAACCCCATGTTATCAAGCCTTCCTATCCCTCTAAATCCCAACCTTACAAAACCCCACCAAAAGCCCCTTCCTTCCCATTATAAATAGAAGGCACCTTTCTCAAGAAAATGAGAAGTTGAGTAGACAAGTGAGAGGGGTTTGAATTGAATGGACAAGACTCTCAACTTGGGGGACCCGATATGAATTGGTGAGAGAGAAATAAAAAAATAAAAGGAGAGGTCATTGACCCATACGGTTGTACTGCTTGGCCTGGAAACCATCCAAGCAACCGGTTTTATTTCATCCTTAACTCATTCCTAAAAGGCCAAAACCCATTGGTTTGGTCAGAGAACCGCTAACCTGGGCAATTGAACCATCAACTCGTTTGACCCAAACAATGGTTACGAGTACAATAGAGAGGGGGAGAGAGAATAGTAATCTTAAATATGAGATCACTAGATCCCATATACAATTGAGATAAGAAGAAGATTGTAGAGGCTGGAGAGTGGAGAGAAACCATATATGATTGTCTACGTTTCTATAGTCACCATTGTCAGCCCTCGCCATTTCCATTATCATCGTTGGTGAAGGTCAAATCCTCCACCTCTTCCTTGTTCTTCCGTCCTCCTCCTCCTCCTTCTCCCCTCCTTCCCTCCTTCCTTCCTTTCTTTCATTTTTCTCATTCCTTTCTTTTTTTTCATTTATCTTATTTCCTTCTCTTCTTCTTTCTTTCTTTCTTAGTCGGCAACCACAACCTCTCTTTTCTCATAAAAACCCTAATCTATACTATATATAAAAAGTGTGCATGCAATGTGAAACTTTTTTTTTATAAGATTGCCATATAAAAGTTACTTTTCGTTTGAGAAAGGGTATAAAAGCCATTTTATTACAACTTTAATGGCTACTAAAATACTCGTAATTGTGTATTTAGTCCATCTCTAATGGTAAGGTTGAAAATGTAACTTCAATTATTACTTCCCACCTCATTTACCCCCCTCTCATTAAGTCTTATACTTAAATTATTAAATCCTATTTTCTCTTATTAAATTAGATTTGTGTCAATATTTTTAATAATATAAACCCATATATTTTAAAATTGTCTCAAAAACAAAACCATCTTTAATTCAAGTAGTGGCTAAGCAATTCAACAATTCAAATCAAGTTGATCAACCTATGAAGTCATAGTTAGGTAATAAATTTTTTTAAAATATATATAAATATAGAAACTTACAAAAAATGTAGAAAAAATAGACACATTTATGATATTTCTATTAATCAAATTAAAAAATAAGTGTAATAAATAGGAATTATTTTTATTGGTAATAAAAAAATACATAATTTAGAATTGACCAAAAATAAAATTATTTTATTGTTTGGAAGGATCAATAGTTCAAATTTTGGGTTGAACATGTTAACCTTTAATGTCATAAATAAACAATAAAAGTTACTAAAATATAAAAATATATAGTTTTTGCAAAAAGAAAAGTATTTAGGCACATGTATAGTATCATATATTTATCATATTAAACAAAAGTATGTGTGGCTTATTAGAGTTATTTTTACACACAAAAATAAAAAAAAAAGTTATAGAGAAAATTGAACACATTTATAATTATATATTTACACTAAAAAAAAGAAAGTTTCCCAATCTTATTCATATAATTATATATGAATAAGATTGGGAAACTTTCTTTTCACTAAAATACTTATTTTGAAATTTAATCCGTATTTAATTATGAGGTGTAAATTGTAAATTGAATTACTACTTTTCACCCCATTCAATTCCCTTTATTTAAATCTTACATTTTTTTTTTATAAATGAACAAAAAAAGATACACCAAAATACTACCAAAAGAAGAATTTAGCCAAGAAAGTAAGCCTATCAATGATACTTGAAACTTCACAACTCGATCCAATGCATATTTGGATAAGATGTTTATGTAAATAGATTGGATTTGCAATCTGCATCCAATTAATAATAAAAAATACATAAAGTTTATAGAAAATTAGATGCATTATTACTATCATTATGGTCATCTAGAATTATCACGTCCAATGCATGTGCACACTTTACTAATTACCTAAAAGTCTAAAAGACTACATTTGCCCTTATAATGTAACTAATCCAAACCGTTTGACCCAGACAATTGAACCTCTGACCCAAAAATTGGTGGCCAAGACAATTTCGTTTTTGAGTCAGTTTTCAAAACCTGAGAACAATTTTGGCAAGAGGAGGGAGGTCAGTTGAGTTGGGAAGACGGGAGAACACATAGAAAGAGAGGATGGTTTCGAGGAGGGAGAGGAGGATTTTTGAAATATAGCAGATGTGATAACACAGAAAGGGGGTGAAAGTTTGAGATACTAGATAAAAAGCAAAGGGGAAGACGACCCTCTCTCCTCCTTTCTAAGTCGCCAAAATATCCTGGCCCTCGGCTACAGTTGCCATCAGTAGGCCATTGTACTTTGAGTTCCAGTTTGCTGTCAACGTCATCGGCTTACCACCGTTGTCACTCCAATACTTGTCCAAGTCGATCAAAGTCCCCAAAGCATCACTACTAGTTGCTCAAAGGCTACGAGAGGTAAAATCCCTTATCTCATATCTTCTTCCTCTTCTTTGAAGTTCTTCTTATCGAATAGGTAGTTAGTCTTTATTTTTCTCCGTATTCATTTATTGCTTGTTGTTCTATGATTTTGCTTTTATTGTGCTTGGAGTTTGGGTGCGATAGCTGTTGTGTTTCCTGGCTTTTGTGAGGATTGGCAATCTCTTTCAATTCTTCAGATTGGTCAACTAAGTCCGAAGGTGGGGGTTCTGATAAAAAGGGGTGGAGACATAGTATCTCACCCTTTGTTGTCCAATCTGTTATCAGAGAACATTGGCTCTCAATCCGACTATGGAAACCTTCATTGTTAAAAAAATTAATTAGAAAATGGGATTTGGCACACACTGACAAGAAAGAGGGGTCCCTCTCCCTCTTAGCTGACCCAGAGTGGCCTCGTCCCAGCCATGGTATGGAGTCACTATTAATTTCTAAATATTTCACAAAATCCAATCTTGGGAGGCCCATCACTCCCATTTATTTGTTTTGATGGGTAGCAACTTCATTTGTGCAACCATGAAGTGGATATACAAGTTTTTCTGGTGTTCACATCCAGCTAAAAGGACCATATGAGGATGGAAAGAACCTTCAAATGATTATTGGTTCATAATCTCCAAACGAGAAGATTAGGTGAAGCCCAGACCTAGTCATACCTAACTAGCTAATGTAGCAACAACTGAGTCTACAAGCTTATCAGCTTCAAAAAACATTTTGGGACAAGCTTGGTTTACCTAGATGGTCTATTAGTCACTATGTCTCGCTAAGAACATTATAGCAACATTGGTTATGATAGCCATTTTTTATCATTACAAAGAGATTTAATGGCATTATTTAACAAGCGGCCAATAACAACAAAAAAAGTGAGGGAAATTCAAAATCTAAAAAACAATAAATAGGTAGAAAGAAAAGGGGAAAAAAAGAACAAGAAATCTAGAGAACTTATAGTGACTTAATCAATTACCCCTTTTGCTACTAATTGATATTGTAGATACATAGAACACGAGTTGTCTCTGCACGCTGCTTATATATGGTTCTTAAAAGTTAAAATGAGTTTCTGCTTCGCTTCATGATTATGCTGAATTTGAGCAATTGAATGATGAGGCCAGACTCACCTATTCTCTGGTTGTGATTGGTTGCTGGGAGCTACCTTGGAGATAGATATTTAGTGTGGCGGCACTACTTGTGTAAAGATTGCACGTCTCTCTCTTTTGGTTTAGTCTCAAGGTAGAAGACAATGAACAGTGTATTCTTTTGAAGAAGGGTAGCTTTCACATTTTAAAAGTTTTAAGTTACACATGCCATCACATGATACATATAACAATGACTAAATTGACAGTGTTTGAGAGTGCAGGTACTACAGTGGCACGTTTTGAAGTTTGGGCACTGAACTAAGACTACCTCTAAAGTATATGACACTAATATGGAAACTTCCCTTTTGTTTAAACATTGCTCCAATTCAAAAAATGAAAGTCCAAACTTACTTGGTTTGGTTTTGACATCTTATAGTAAGATCAAAGAAAGCAAAACAAGTATTGAAATTCCAAAATCTAAGCACATTCGATTTCTTATTCCACCATCTCAAGTCTAAAGGAAACAAACGTGGATGTATGTGCAGTAGTGAAAGAAGGAGAATGGCGAATCCTTCTTGTTATGGCATTGGCAGGAGAATAAGTGATAGAAACGCCTGAATGGAATTGGTGCTATGGTGCTGGTGATTAGTTCTCAAGAATGGTGGCAAAACTTGAGGAGGATAGACTGAGAGGCGAAGGGTGCGAGAAGAAAGAGAAAAAAGGATTGGTAGGGTTTGTAAGAATTATAGGGTAAATTGCTTAAACCTGCCCTAAAGTTTGATAATTGCAATCACTTCCCTTTAACCTTTTGACATAGGCGCAAGTAGGCCCCCTCTCATATAATCTTTTAAAAAGAGACATGAAAATGTCCAAACCCATGCATTTACTTTTGACAAAAAAATGTTTATTTTCCATTTTTTATATTCATATGAATCAATACCTCAAACCCTTCCAATCAGTTTTCTAAAATTGATTTATTTTCTAAATCAACCATTCATATCGATCACTCAAGGGTAAAGCTACACTTTTAAATTCTTTTTGTTTTTATTGTTCATAATGTTTGTATTGTTTTCTTTTTCCCTATATAAATTAGCTTCAATAGTAACTTCATGGGTATTTTGGACATTTTCATGCCCCTTTTTAGAAGATTCTATGGGAGGGGGGTCTAATCGCAATCTGTATTAGAAAATTTAGGGGAGGTGATTGCAATTACTAAACTTCAAGAGAGGTTTCAGCAATTGTAAGAAACTTCAGGGGAGGTTTCAACAACTAGCCCAACTCGGAGAGTTATCCCTCGGTCGGAAATACGGCAGGTTGAGCTTCATTCCCCGCATCCGGTGAGGAGATTCCAAGACTAGCTTGTAGAGTCTCCAATTAGGGGTGCTCACGGTTTGGTTAACTGAACCGTGGGCTAATTTTTGAAATCAAACCGGGGTTGAAAACTGGTAACCGAAATTGTTTACCGGTTTTAATTGAAACCAAACCAAAGCCGATCGGTTAACCAGTTGATTGGTTTGGTTAACCATCGGTTTGGTTCATCAATTTTTTTGGTTTTTATTATTTACAATATTTATTATAGAAAAATATACAAATACATAATAAAATATTAGAAATATATATATATATATATATATATATATATATATATATAACATTATATTTTAAATAATAAATAATATATTGTAAAAATATATAAATATACATAAGATATATATAAATATATGCATACTGGTCCGTTTGGTTAACCGCCGGTTTTTTATTTTAGTTAACCAAAGCCGAATCAATACCTTCGGTTTTTTTTTTAAATATTGAACCAAAACCGAACTGATCGATTTGGTTAACCGAATTTCCGATTCGATTTCGGTCGGTTCTGTTTTTCGATATTTTTTCTCACCCGTCCAATCGGGGCAAAGAAAAGAAACAACTCTTGCAAAGGGCCAGCRGCTGYGAAAGAATTGCTTATACCCTATAACGGTCTTCAATCGCTTGACCTTAACTCGGTCAAGCAAGTGGAGTGGACACCCAAAATTTTGTCAAAACCCTTGTCACTTCTGGTTATAGAAGTCCGGTGGTCTATTGCGGTAGTTGTTTTATCTTGTTTCCCGCGAATATTTCAGTTTTAAAATTTGCAGGTTGTGGCTTGAGCGGCTATGGAGGTGGACAGAGTAGACGGACGTACGAGGAATCAACTGAGACCACTGGCTTGTTCTCGGAATCTTCTTAACCGAGCTCATGGTTCAGCTCGTTGGTCTCAAGGTAAAATTAGAGATAAAAAAGTAACTGGCTATGTTTGGTTTGAAGGAAAAGGTAGGGTAAGGTATGAAAACCTATACAAGGCTTGTAAAGATTTCCCTGCCTTTCCCCTTCTTTTCCCTACTTTTTCCTTCAAACCAAACATAGCCAGCCTTAGGGTTCAATTTGTTCTTCGTTCTTTCTGTTCTCTTTTCAGCAATGGGTTTGAGTAGCGTCATCTGTGCTGTTTGAATTAGGGGATACAATTGTTTTAGCTGCCGTTTATGGACCCAAAGCAGGAACCAGGAAGAATGAGAATCCCGAGAAGGCGTCCATTGAAGTTATTTGGAAGCCCAAAACTGGGCAGATTGGTGAGTTCTCGTAGAACTTCTCATTTATATTAGGAATCAGATGCCTTATGTCTTATATATAATGGTATGTCCTTTAGACTAGTGGGTGGTCTCCTGAACAAATGCATGGAAAAATTGCCACTTGATGCCATTCATTATTTAGTGAAACAAGTAGTGAACTACTTTTTAATTATGCTAATATGCAAATTAGTAGCATGCTGAATAACTTATTATGCCAAAATGGAAGGAAAAGCACGGACAAATCTATTTGATTTGCAATGTTATACAGATTTCTTGATTTGCATTATTAGTTGTTTAATTGCTTGCACAGTATTTGTTAGAATTGGATAATCAATACAATATTCAAGTTGTTGATTTGCAATGTTATAAAGAGTCCAGAGCCAAATAAATATACATATATGGCATTAATAGAGGACTATAAATAGTAAGTGGCTGTTTATCAGAAGGCAAAGTTGGGTCATGAACTGAGGTTGGGGGTATATAACCCCATGTGCGTATGTGTATGCTAACTATAGCCTTCTTATCCCTATTAATATTTTAGTTACTGATACAAGTGGTTTTTTGGTCCTTGTTTAGGCAAACCGGAAAAGGAGTATGAAATGATACTTAAGAGAACCTTGCAAAGTATTTGCCTTCTGACGGTTTACCCAAATACAACAACCTCTATCATAGTTCAGGTAATGTAGTTTCGTTGTTATTTATCTAGTAAGGTTTTTCAGGTTCATAGGTTGTTCTATCCATTTCTGTTTTTTTTTGTCCTTCTTCTCCTCCTTTTCCTTTATTGTGTTGTTCTAGAAAAAGAGGATAACAAGGTATTTTAAGAGTAAACATTTCTTATTAGTGCCTTTTGACTTTATAGCCAATTATTGTCAATGTTTCACATGTAATAACAACATTGGAAGGCAAATTCCCATGTCTAGATGTTGGCACTACTGTTATAATATGGACATGGGGATATCTCTCTTCATTTTGAAATGTTGATATGGATATAGTGATTAGTGAACAATATATCATTGAGTTTAGGGTTGATATTCTCAAGACTGCAGAGGCAGTTGATGCGGCTAAAGGGATGACATCTTTCATTCCACTGCATTGGGTTTGATATGAACCCAAGCAGGTTAAGGTCCATGTTACCCAAAGGTCCCAGATATAGAAGGACACGGTATCAGATACAGGATTTACAATAAAAGTTAAACTATCTGACACAATACATCACTCTGTGCAGGTATTTGGGTATCATAGATTAAGATTGGTTCTGGTTGAGGCACAGTAGATGCCCGTTCAAATTATTTGCTTTTCTTTTTTTCTTCCTTTTAATAGTTGGTGACAGCTCTCTCTCTCTCTCTCTCTCACACACACACACACACACACACACACAGATAGACACTGTCTCTTCTCACTTTTCTCTCTCTCTATCACACTGACAAATTCACTGTCTCCTTTAATTATAATTTTAAAAGTGCTTTGTTCCTTCCTTCACCTTTTTTTTAATAAGTAAAAATATCAATTTTATTAAGAACAGAAAACATAAAGATTACAAAGGTCCAAGGGGAGGTGTGAGGTGCAACCACTCCTTGTCAACTATCCCATTACAACTGAGCCCAATACAATTGATCCCTAATCATCCATTGTGTAGCTAAAGAATTTGGTAGTCCATTAGCCAACCTCCTTTTTTTGATATCTTTTGAAGGGCTACAGAACGGGGGTAGCCCATCCCTCAACCCAGCTGCAGGTGGGATTTGATCCCATGTCTCCGCTATGACTGGCAGGAGACCTTACCAACCAGCTGGTTGGCACCTTGCCATTAGCCAACCTCCTTTTCCATTGGATCCTTAAATTCATCCCACTACTTAACCATTTTAATATCTTCATCTCCTCTCTATAAATGCATCTTACCGTCTACATATCTTTTAGCCAACCAATCACCATCTTAGAATTTTCCTCAATGACTAAGCTATCAAAATTCAATTGTCTTGCTATTTGTACCCCTTGAAGTACAGCAAAGAGCTCTGCTCTAGCTGAACCTCCAAGACCAGCTGGTCCCAAGAAGAGCGCAAGATCATTTCTTTCTTTGTTTCTGAAGAAACCCTCCATAGAAGATGAGCCTGGGTTTCCTTGGCTGCTCCCATTGAAGTCAAGCTTCACAAAATCTTCTTTGGTAGTGACCAAAGGGAAGTGATCTTCTCCTTCTTAGACGAACTTCTTGCCATTTAGTCCCCATTCCTCGAAATATCACCAAAAGAGAATAGTGCAAACAAATCCAATGTTTTCATCCAATGAAATGATGAATCACCTTTATAACTAAACATTCCATCATGGAAAACAGTGAGAGCTGCCATGTTATGGATTGTTTGGGAAGAAAGGAATGGGAGGGTTTTCAATGAGAAGAGTAGGACAGAGATGGAGATCATTGACACAGTTAAAATAGAAGTAGCACATTGGGTGAAGACCCTAGAGGATTTCCAAGTGTTGTCACTCAATGACATTTTGAGAACTTGGAGGAAGTGGCTTTATCAACTAAAGAAAAGGAAAGAGCTTCTATGGAATGGAGACCCCTAGAAGCCAACTTTGTTACACTCAATTTTGATGGGAGTTATATTTGGTAATGGTAATGTGGATGGACTGGGAGGGGTCTTCCGATACACAGAAGGAAAGGTGTTGGTATTATATTCAGGACCCTTAGCAGATGGTAATGCTTTGACAGCTGAGCTTACGGATTACTCCATGGTCTAAAATTTGCTAAGCATTTTGGCTTCCAAAACTTGGAGGTGGAAGGGGACTCTCAGGTGGTCATTTCTTGGACAAGATGTAGGTCCCAAATCCCATGGATCTATAGACTTACATTTCGGGAAATATAAAACTTAATAAGGGAGCTAAGTGTTGTCTTTAAATGGGTAAGAAGATCAACAAATGGGATGGCAGATGTTTTGGCTAAACAAGGAACAACTAGGCACCAAATGTTTTGGGCAAAATTATAACTTATCCTTTGGGTGGAGAGAGTTCCCATGTTACTGTAATACTTGAGTTTCAATTTAACAAAATCTCTTTTTATTGATAAAAAAACTATACATTCCATCACCCTGTTGACAGGGCAAACAGAATTAGGGTTGGGGTCTGGCAGACTGGCTCCCTCATCAATAATTTCATTATTTTCATGGCTTTTCTTTTTGTCATTCAAGTTATAATTTTGTTACTTATATCAAAAAAGCTTTACAATGGCCGTTGTCCCACTTGGTTTGTTTTGGGGGTATAATGAACATAACTACACTATCGATTGTCCTCCTTGCAGGCCTCACTTGGAATAGATTCGGATATGGTTTTCCTCTCTAATTGTTTGAACGGGGCAGTTGACAAATTAAGTTAGTTCATAGTGGTGCCTAATCTTTTCTTGACATTACTTATCTTCAGACATATTCCTTGGATCTGACATTACCCCATGAAAAGCACTTGCAACTTCTTGGTAAGTGCAGCGCTTCTACCCAAAAATTTTGGGTTCTAAATCTGGGCTTCACTTACCTTGTTTTGGCATCTTCCTCCTCTTGACAAACTTCTTCCATGTTTAACCCCACATTTGAGTTTGCTTTACCTACATCATATGAATAGTCTATTCCATTAACCACAAAGAGAGTACATGAGAATACGTACAAGAAGCAGCACACGCACAGGTTACAAAGGTATAACACTCCCACTATGTAAAATTTCCTTGTGAGCACCCGTTTTAGCCAACCAATATGCTATAGTGCTTAACTCTCTGGGAATCCATAACAGATTACATTCAAGGAGTCCAGAAGATCTTGGGCCTCATCCAGGTAATTTGCTAGCCTCCACGGCTCTCCATCTTTCTCCCCAAGCCATCTAATAGTATTACTCTAATCACCTTTGATGATGGGGAAGACAAGCCACGGTCTCTTGCAATTTGGAGTCCAGTTAGCATGGCTAGAACTTCAGCCTTTGTAAGGTCTGCTATTCTGATTGGTCCACTGTAAGCCCACAACAAATTTCCATCCCTTCCCTTAAACACACCACCGTTCCCCTGCTAGACCAGGGCTCCCAAGGGCACTTCCATCAAAATTCAGAGTTACCTCCTCTTCTACTCTTTAGTTAGGGATGCTTGTTGCTTTTAGAGAGGATCATCAAGAAACACCTTTAAACTCTTTCGAGTTCAGCACCCACATATTGAACAAGTAGAATATGTGGGGTAACAAATCATCCATAGATCTAGCTTTATTGTTGAAGATTCGGTTGTCTCTCTTTGCACACCCCCACAAAACTGCTTGAACCAGTGTGCCAGTAAGTTTCCCCCCTTTTTCCACGACCTCTTCCTTGCCATTGCCAAAGGAAGTCTTCAATGTGGAGAGAGCATGTTCAGGAGGGCTGTTGGAAGGCTTTAAAGCAGTAGGTGACCAGGTAGAGGTTCTCCTTCTACAATTTGCAGACGGCACCCTGTCTTTTTCTGATGCTTCTTGGGAACAGCTTGAAATGGTAAAAGCAGTTCTGAGATGGTTTGAGGTAATTACTGGCCTTCACATCAACACTTCTAAGACCGAGATATTGGCTGTTGGGTCAGTTGAAAATTTGGAGGAGTGGGCTGGGAATTGGGGCTGCAAAGTTGGGAAACTTCCTACCAAATATCTGGGTTTGCCACTGGGAGATAACTGCGGATCAAAGGGCATATGGGATTCTATTATAGAAAAAGTGGACAAGTGGCTTCCAGGCGGGAAAGTCACTTTGATTAAAAGTGTGCTCTCATCTCTGCCAGTATATTACATGTCGGTGTTCCCAATCCCAGCGAAAACTGTTGCTCTCTTGGAGAAAAAGATGAGGGATTTCCTGTGGAGAGGATGGAAGGGGAAAATAAATGTCATCTGGTGAGGTGGAAGTCAGTCTGCAGATCCAAAAACCTTGGAGGTCTGGGCATTAGAAAATTAAGGGAAGTCAACACTGCAATGCTAGGAAAATGACTTTGGAGGTTTAATGATCAGCTGAACAGTTTGTGGAGGAGGCTAATTGTAGCCAAGTATGGGCCTGCAGCGAGAGATTGGGAGACTGGAAACTCCAGATCCTCATAGGTTGCTCAATCTGGAAGGCAATTTAAAAAATTGAATCACAGTTCTTACAAGGAATAAATACGAGGTTGGGAATGGTCAAAGAGTTCCATTCCGGAAGGATTTTTGGTGTGAAGATGGCCCTCTCAAGGACAGATATTCTGATCTTTTCGGGATAGCAATGGACAAGAATGCAACAGTGGCAGATTATTTGGAAATGCAGAATGGAGTCTGTGTGTGGAATCCTCAACTGTGTAGAAATCTGAATGATTGGGAGGTAAACTCTCTCCTAAGTTTGCTGCAGAATGGAGCTTTGGAGGACAAAAGAAAATGGAGATTTGAAAACTCAGGAATTTTCTCTGTCAAATCCTACTATAACAGCCTGACAAGAGAGGAGTTTTCTGTTTTCGCGGACAAGAAGATTTGGATAAGGAATGTCCCTTCAAAAGTGTCTTTTTTTTGTGTGGTCACGGTGCTGGACAGAATTCAGACTAAAGAAAACCTAGTTAGAAGGGCATTCAAGTGCAGGATGAAAGGTGTGTTCTGTGCAAGAGAAGCACAGAAACCACTAATCACCTTCTGGTCCACTGTGAACTCACCCACTGGAATTGGGGGAAAATTCTGGAATTGTTTGGGGTAAAGGTGTGTTTTCCATCTGATGTGAAGAGTTTTTTGCTTGCTGGGTGGCTAAAGGGTCTAAGTGAGACCAGAAGAGTTTCTTAGAACACTGTTCCTGCAGCTGTGTTCTGGGTAGTTTGGTGTGAAAGGAATCAGAGAATCTTCAAAGGTTGTCAAATTTCAAAGGAGGAAGTTCTTAAAAATATTATTAGGCATGCTGTATTCGTGGTTGGCTAATCACTCACTTTTCAAATCTAGACACAGTTTCTTTCTTTGACAAAGAGTTTATTTTTGGATAGTTTTGTCTGTAAATGCCTAATGGCTTAGTTGTTGTGTTATTGAGTTTCTGGGGTTTCCTTAAGCAAGTTTCTCATTGTACAAGGAATTGGGCTGATTGTATATCTTCTTTCTTTTTGCGGTTTAATACAATACCTTACCTTTTTCAAAAACAAAAAAAAAAACAGTTTCACCATTGGTGAGGCACAAAATGCAAGTAGGGGGGATACACAATCTACCTTTGTTTTTCCTTTGTAGCAAGTTGCAAGTGTTTTTTTCCCTGGCCCTTTCCTATTACTGAATTCCTTATCCTCTTCCACATCTTTTTTTTAATCTTTCAACCTCACTAAGTTATCTTTTCCTAGTCCCACCCTCTTCTTTCTCACAAGAGTTTTGACCTCAATTGGCTCTTTTAATTTGCACCCTAGTTTATCTGCGAATTCAGCAACTAATTTTTCCTTCTTTGTATCCTCACTTTCCGCTTTTGGAACCCTAGAGCACTCCCCACTAAAAGCACCACCATTAACTCCTATTCTTTTCCCACTTGACCTCTCGGCCTCATCTAATTCTTTCCTCTTCATTTCCTCCAGAAAGCTCTCTATCAACTCCTATATTTTCCTCCCTTTCTCGTCCTCCACACCTACTTCTTTCTCACTCATATCATTGTTTCCGTCTTGTGGCGTGAAGGTTGTCTAGGCCCTAGGTACCTGGAAGGATGGCTTAAGGCAAAAAGCAACAACAAGGGTTAGTCACTAAACCAGAATTTACAAGATTGCCTAGGTTCAGAATATGGTCAGACTCAACAGTCATACGAGTGGTCGGACAATTTTCCAAAGCAAATGGTTTGGAATTTTCTATTAGGACCAGGGAATATCAAAATTGGGAAGCTCTCCTTGGTATCATTGTTATTCTGTTTACTCCCATTAACTTGTGGCTTATTCTCCCTCAACGTCCCACTACAAGACTTCAAGTTAGTCTTCAACAGACCCTTACGAACATCCTGTCTAATTTTAGTGCTTGGCTTTGGTATCCCCTTCTTTAGGCTTTGGCTTCTATCCCTAGCAACCACAACGAACTTTGCTTGATAGTGATTACCACCACTTGTCGCTGGATTCAAAGGCGAGGCATTAATAACTTCGTCCAAATCTTCAACAAACAATATGTCGGTACATAAATCCTCCTCTGGTTCCACCACAATTGTATCTCCCTTTTCTATGATCTCTGCTATAGAATCCGCTTCGTAATCAAACCCATTGTCATCATCCCCTGACTAGCTACAATCCACCCATCCATTGTCAGCTTCTTCAAAATCTCTTGGCCAGTTCCTTGCATATTTGGGATTAGGCCGATCATCCTCTATCCTAGAGAAAGCAATAGTCATAGTCCTTGTCCTTGGCCCCGATCCCTGTCGGGGATAAAGATTGTCCTCCATCCCCGATCCCCGATGGGGATGAGTTCCCCGTGGGGACTTGAATCCCCAAAATTTTTTAGTTAATAGTAGATTTTTTAAATATATTTACTTAAAATAAATAAAAATTTTAAAATATAAATAATATCATATATATAATATGAATAACATTATATATATATTTATAATCGGGGGCGGGGTGGGGACCTAATTCCCCATCCTTGACCCCAACCCCAATCGGGGATCCCTATTAATCCCTGTCCCTATCCCTGCCCCACCAAAGCAATCTCCATCCTTGACACCATTGGATCGGGGAAGTTGGGTACCCGTTGGAGATGGGGAAAATTGCTGTCCCTAAGCCTCAGGCCTTGGATCCCATTGCAAAGATGACGATTGATGAGATTGCATCTTCAACCGCTGGCCAACCTCAACTTGAGATGAAGGTAGAGGATTATTTTGGTCCCTAGTCAAAAAAAGACCACACTTCATGTGACTACTAGAAGTATAGTAGCCAAATAAAATGTGACTACTAGAAGTATCATGTGAGTCTAAAGAGTTGGCCTTTTCTTTATTAATGGGCCCAATTCTTGGCCCAAAACACTTCCTCTAGGTTCTAACAAAAACTGACCCGTGGAGATCTTTTTGTTCAAAATATTATGGGCTTGGCCACCCATTGGCTTGGACATGAGCCCAATCTTAACTGCCTCTGCAAAGGAATTCAGGCTCGACCCATTTAAGTTTGAGCTATTAAATTTCATATATGTTCCTTTTTTGAGGCCTATTTCAGCCTCCACCCCTTTGTCTTCCTTATTAAAGCCCAAATTAATTCCTCTTTTTAACACCTCCGCTTTCACCTCTTCATTTTTGCCATGTGTCCACTGTCCTGCCGCCTCATCACCTTCAACCTCTTGCCCTCCATTCCAGAGCGACACTTCAACTTCTGTCACCAACCAGAGCTTATTCCACACCTCACTGACGTTGATATCAATAGCTCTTGGAATGTTTTACAGTTGAACTCCAGTGATTTTGATCCTCACCACCCTTAGACTGTTAAAGTTAATCTCAAGTAGAGCACCTCCAACACTTTAGCAACCCTTTCAAAGAAACTCTCCTTCCACAAGGGAAATGGAAGCCCAACCAGCAAAATCTCAAAGGTTTCATCAGTAATTTCTTTAGAGTTGCAAGAATCGACTAGTTTTCAAGAATTTCTACCCCCAATTCGGTGTTCAACAATTGAAAGTCAATGTTCTTCCCCCTGTCTCCAGAATTGCCCACTGGAATGAACTTGGAGCTTCTGCATGAGTACTTCGACTATTGTACCCCAGTTATTCACCTTCTTTCCAGCCTTAGCAATCCACCTTCAATCCCAAACGCTCTCTTCCTTTTCCAGTAAAATTCTCTGGACTTGTGCTCACAATCGAAATCAAATGCTGGATATTTCTTGGGTTTGGACTTGGATTACATCCTCCTCCATAGGGTTAACCATGTTGGAAGAAGTCTGCACACAATCTTCTTTATGCAATAAGAAATCCTGAAGCTGTGACGCCAGTGTTTTAAAAGCGCAAGGCACAAAAAAGGCGTAGGGGTCAATTTGCGCATGAGGTGCACGCGTCTTTTTGAAGCAAGGCGCAAAATTATAAAAAAATGCTAAAAAATACAAAATGTCAGAAAATTCAAAAAATGCCAAAAAAATTCAAAAAAACCAAACATAATATTAATAAAAAAATATAAACTTAAATTTTAAAATAATGTTTTAAAAAACCTTTATCTAAAATTAAAATACATAAACATAAGATGTAATTATGTAAAGCATATTCAAATGAGAATTTAAAAATAAAATCAAACATATAAAACATTTTCAAGCATTTAAAACCTCTAATCTCTTTTTTCACTCAATTGCATTACTTCGCATGGCTAATGTAATGTAAAATATATTACATTCCTGATTCTACGAGCCGCCTTTGTGCCATGCCCCTTGAGGCAAGCCTAAACAAGTCCACGTTAGGCCTTAAGTTCTTAGTTTTCACACAAAAAAATAGTGATTTTATAGTTTTACTTGCTTTTTAAGAAGACATTTTATTAGAATGAATGAATGAACAACATTACCAAATTGGGGGTTCTCAGAGCTYCRGTKMGCWWGCKMACYGRAGCTCTGAGAACCCCCAATTTGGTAATGTTGTTCATTCATTCATTCTAATAAAATGTCTTCTTAAAAAGCAAGTAAAACTATAAAATCACTATTTTTTTGTGTGAAAACTAAGAACTTAAGGCCTAATGTGGACTTGTTTAGGCTTGCCTCGAGGGGTGTGGCACAGGGGTCCGGGGGTAGAGCCCCCGGCCCAGTGTTCAAAAAGGCAAAAAAGCGGCAAATTTTCAAAAGGTGCACGCCTGGGCTGAGGCGCAAGGCGCATTAGGCACATGCCTAGGCGCACCAGGCGTGCGCCTTTTGAAAGGACTGCGCCTAGGACCTAGGCGAGGCGCATACCCTGAAATGCGCCTAGGACCTAGGTGAGGCGCCCTGAAATGTGGCTCGCCTGTGCGCCTGAGGCACACCTTTTAAATCACTGTGTGATGCCATTAGCTTCCAGCCGAGGCCTTGTCGACCTTCTGGTATACAGATAAGTTGTCTTCTGTTACCACCAAATGTCTTTGAGACCATCATAAACCACCCTTTTTGATTACGCTTTAGTATCACCTGATTTTTTTTTTCTTTGGAGTTCCAGAGAACTCCATTCATTACTTTTAACAGAGATTGCCCCATCAGTGAACCCCTTTAGCCAAGAAACTGCATCATCAATTAGATTGATGGTAGCCCTTCCTTCTTCTCTAATCTTTAGCACCAATCTGCTTCAGCTCTTCTTTGCTTTGACCACCAATTCCTTTTTCCATCTCTTTCTTGACCCCATCTTGTTTCTTATTGTCATCAATCATCACTTGTCTGTACAGTTTTCTAATCTTGCTCTCTCTTCCTCATTGTCTTCTAAAGGTGCAATCTTTTTTATCTTTCTTCTCTATTTCAGATCTGAATCTCTTCTTCCTAAAATTCAGATCCTTAGTCTCCCTCTTTATCTACCACATTCACCTAATAGGGCTTCTTTCTTCCCATCCCCTCATTGATTTTAAATTTACCTTCATTTCTTAGTTGCTTTACAAGAGATCCTTATTTATTATTTGTTTATCTGGGTTTATTAACACTTACTGTATGGAAATTACCTAGTTTTAGCTGCATCTCTAGATTCTTCACTGATGATCATTGTACTTTTACTCTTTCTTTGCAGGTTGTTAATGATGATGGTTCTGTATCCTTAATGGCTTCAACCTAAGCTGTTTCTGGTTGAACTGAAAAAAAGAACCTTAATATGAGCATTCATTTGATTTCTCATTTTCTTTCCTAATGGTTTATATGTTAAAATTCTCTAAGGAGATAATTATGTATCTTAAAGTACATGCTGTGACCACCACTGTTTTACATTAAGATGATGAAAACTTCCTTAACAGAAACCTTTGCTAGCTCCTCCCATGTGCCATAAATGCAGCCTGTGCTGCCCTTGTGGATGCTGGAATTCCATTGAAGCATCTTTCTGGTAAGAAATTCTTATTGTGATTGTCGCTTCTTATCTTTACATTCATACTTGTTGGTCTGTGCAGTTGCAATCTGTTGTTGTCTGGAAGAAAATGGAACCGTGGTTCTGGACCCCACCAAGTTAGAGGAGCAGGTTTTTCTTCTTACCCTTTTCAACTATTTAGTCTAGCTATCAATGAAATTGTATATTCAAACCCAGTTTTTCACAAAACAATAAATAGTTATTGTAATCTCCTGCTATTGGTTTGTCAAATCGGGAACCAGTAGCAAATCAGGCAGATCTACCAAAATTTCTTCCATGTCAACTCTCCAAAATTACTTTTTCTTACTTTAAACGCTTCTATATGACTATATGAAAGTGATCAACCATTTAAGCTGCCCAATAGGTCACTCTAGTATTTATATTTTTCCAATTTATACAACTAATGATACATTGTTTACTAGATCTTTTCCAATTAACATCGAAATTAGGAAAACAATGGGCCAATAGGGGTGGGAGATTCATTAAGAGCGGAGGTGATGGTCCTCCAAGGATTGAGATTGGCAAATCAATTGGGTCTTCATTGGATTGAAGAGGAAGGGAATTCAAGATTGTTATTTGGATGGATCAAAAAGATAATCTAGGGCTCTGGACTTACAGATGAGCAATGGGAGAAATATGGAGGTTGGCAAGAGATATTGATGTAAAATTAAATTGGGTTAGAAGATCAGCTAATGGCCTTGTTGACAGCTAGCTAAACAGGGGTCAACCAGGGCTGAGTTTTTTTTTGGGCAGCATTGAATTGTGGGATTTGCACTTCCTTTTTGGGGTGCCTTTTTCTGCTTATCATTATTAATTATTGAATGAAATTTACCATAGATTGCAGGAAGTGTAGAGGTGGGAGTTGGCGAGTGACTTTGAAGATGAAATTGATATCTTGGTATGTCAGGGGCTTGAGAGAGGGAAGAAGACATACAGCAGAAGCAAGAAAGCAGGGCTTATTTGGAGCTGCATTCTGTTTGTAAGATGTTGGAATTTATGGAAGGAAAGAATTAGAAGATTTTTCGGAGCCAAAGCTTTGATGTTGGAGTGGATAGTGGCAGCTGTCAGAAAATCTGTTGTTGGCCAGGCTCTAGTTCCAGAATATTGCCAACTATCCAAAGAAGACATTGAGGATAAGCTTAGGGAAGTGCTGGGGTCTCAAATGTGTAATCTGGTTTTGTTTTGTTTGATTTGTAATTGAGTTAGTTGGCCAGAACTCCTGGCAGGTGGATGTTGCCTTAACACCTGGATAGGTTGTAGCTTTTTTCTTTTCTAATACAATTTTATTTTTACTACAAAAAAGTTACCGTCTCCAAAAAAAAGTGTCTATAAATGAGATTCTGGTGTCCACTAGCCACTGGGTTTGTCAAACTGAACTTTGATGGCAGCAGTGAAGGTAATCCAGGGCCTTTGGGCATTGGTGGAGCCTTCAGAGATGAAGAAGGAAAAGTCATTGCCTTACATTCTGGTCCTATTGGTGTTGGTGACTCACTTCAGTCTGAGGTCTTGGCAGTGATGGAAGGCATGAAGAAGGCTAAGGATCTGAACTGTCACAAGCTTATTGTTGAAGGGGATTCAAAGCTGGTTATTGGATGGCTGCAAAAAGAAGATAGTAGTCTATGGAAGTTTGCAAATGAAAAAAAGATTGTTTAATCGGTTGGCACAAGGCTTGGAAATTCAGATAAAATGGGTAATGAAAAGTGCCAATTCCTTTCGGATACTCTTGCTAAGCAAGGGGTGGGAAGGGAACAATTGTTTTGGGCTATGTTGTAATTTGTTTTTTTGTTTCCCTTGGGGAGGGTTAAGAGGTTTTACCTCTCCCCTTCTTCTTTGTACTTATTTCTCTAATCTTTAATGAAAGTTCTATGTTATTCATAAAAAAATGAGATTCTGGTGTCATTGTGATGCAGAACCTTCAAAGGAAATAGCAGTTCTGATGATTACGTTCTAGGATTTCATGAATTAAGGCTTAATGTTGAAAATATGGAGAAATTAGGGTTTTGGATATGTAGGCTGATAGTTGAACTAGGTTTACTTAGAGGTTTAATTAATTCTGGGGTATACAATCATAGGAGGGGCAGGTTTGAAGCAGTAGAACAGGTTCTGTAGGTTAGGGAGAGAAGGGTTTTTGGGATGTAAGAAGTCTGATTAGATTGGTTAATGGTGTGTTCAGAATTGATGCTAATTAAGGACGTTTTGGTAGGTGGGTTTGGATTTATTCTGTTTGAGTTGATTAATGTTAGAATATTTCCTAAATGCTGCTGATAAAAAAATCCTAAATGCTCTCAATATATTTTGACTGATTAATGAACTCATTTTCAACTATCAAAAGTTTTTTTTTGATTGTTGTGTTGTTTTAGGATTCACTCCTGTTAGTGTCGAGTATGTAGGGGTATTTCTGTCTGTGTGCTTATGTTTAGGTGCTGATGTGTAAGTTTATGTTAGATCTAATGTCCCTAACTTAAGTAGGGGTACATGTGACTTTTCCACAATATTTTAGTAATATAAAACAAATCTGGCCGAATGGGAGGGTTGACTTTTCTCTCATTCGAACCAGACCTTTTCCTCCTTGTCTTCTCTTCTAATCTTCTCCTTTCTCTCTTTCTCTCTTCTCTCTTTTCCTTGACTGTTATCAGTCTAACAGGCAGACCGAACTCTGATATGGTATTAGAGCTAAACTGAGCAAATCAGATCTGCCCAGAATTCTGTTCTCTGCACACCTAGTCTAGGGTTTTCTCTTGCTTTCCTCACCATCAGTTGGAGATAAGGGAAAGGGCTGAAAAGGAGTGGTCACCGTCTTCCCTTGGAGGTTTCTATGCCTCCAGTTGTGATGTTTGTGGTCGGTTGTTGCAGTTTCTAAGAAGCCCTCCCCTAATCGATGAAGAGAAGAGGGCTGATTCGTGTGGTGCAGTGGGTGCCTTGTGTGGTCTGATTTTCGGGTGATCAGGTAAGAGGTTCTATGCATTTTCTTAGTGTGAATTAAATGATAAGTCTGTTTCAGACTGTATGGTGGGATTTCAGATTGTAGTGTGATAGGGTTTGTGCATTTTTCAATGTGGTTCGAAGGGGAAGTGTTCCTCAAACAGTGTGGTGAAGTTTCAGGTAGTCGTGAGGTAGGGTTTGTGGTGTAAAGAGTGCAGTTTACAGCAATAGTAAGCGCTGAAATCAGTGTGTAGTGTGGTCTAGTGTGCCGAATTCAGCAATACTAGAATTCAGCAATGGGAGACAATAGTGACAACAAGACTAGTGTGATGGTTCCTATTGACTACTTGAATGTTCAAATGACCTCCATTAAGTTGAACGGAGAAAATTATGTACCTTGGGCTAAATTTGTAGAAGTTTTTCTTAAGGCAAAGAAGAAGGTGAAATGCATAAGGGACGAAAAACCCTCAAATTCTCATGAGTATGATGATTGGAAGCAAGATTAGTGTAAATTTCATGTTACTTGATACCGCCAAAGAAGTGTGGAACCATGCTAAGAAGCTGTATTCGGGCCAAGACAATACAACCAGAGTAATATCAGTTGTATCAAGAATACTTTAATCTACAACAGGGTAATCAGAGTCTTGATGAGTACTATGCTAGTATGAGAAACATTCGTAATGAATTGAATGTTTATCACCCCCTCACTTCTGATGTCAAAATTCAGCAACAACAGAGGGAGCAACTTGATGTGACTCGATTTTTGGTGGGGCTGAAATCTGAGTATGAACCAGTGTGGGCTCAGATACTAGGAGGGTCATCTCTCCCTTAGAAGAGGTGTTTGCTCGACTTAGGAGGATTTCCATTGGATCTCCCGAGAACCCTAATGTTTCCGATAGATCAGCCTTTGCAGTATCCAAAGGCCGTGGTGTTAAAGGTGGAGCTCGGGGGAGCTCAGTCTGGCCGTAGCGGTAGCAATGGACTGACATATGGTCGGAGTGGTGGTAGTGGATCTACATATAACCGTGGTGGTGGTCGTACTGGAGTTCAAGATTCAGGGGGAGCTCGTGGCAGAGGACGTAATTTGGGTCCGAGGAGGTGTACACACTGTGGTATGGATGGACATACCATTAATTATTGTTATGACTTGCATGGTCCACCCTCAACTTGGGCCAATCATGCCGTAACTAGTGATAGTAGCTTCATACAGGAAAATCATTCAGTTCATCAGATACCTTTTACATCCATAGATGTTATTGGGAAGGAGATGATGAGTATTCCCCGTGATGAGTATGAGAGGTTTGTTCAGGCCACATCTCAGAAGAACACGGCCACTCTTGCACACTCAGGTATGGCTTGTCTGGCATCTACACCCAATCCCTGGATTATTGATTTTGGAGCCTCTGATCACATGACTGGAACTCTAGGTGTGTTTTCTTCCCTCTCTCATTGCCCAGCATCACAATTTGTTACCCTTGCTAATGGTTCCACATCTTCCATTTGTGGTGTTGGTAATGTTAACATGGACCCTATATCCTTATCCTCAGTTTTGTATGTCCCTAAATTTCCTTTTAATCTTATGTCAGTAAGTCGATCAAGTCTCTTAATTGCTCCATTACCTTTTTCCCCTCTTCGTGTGTTTTTCAGGATCTCAAGACGGGGATGAAGATTGGTGGAGGGCATGAAGCTGGTGAAATGTATTATCTTGATGGTGGTGGAAGTACAACAACTACTCTCCAATTGTCTCTTTCTCCTCTCTAGTGTCACTGTCGATTTGGTCATCTTTCATTGAAAGTTTTGAAGTCTTTGGTTCCTTCATTGAGTCATCTGCCTGTTTTGGATTGTGAGTCGTGCCAGTTGGGGAAACATCATCATGTTCCCTTTAGTCCTAGAGTTGATAACCGTATGTCGAGTCATTTTTCTTTCGTTCATTCAGATGTTTGGGGTCCTTATAAAGTAATGTCATACAATGGATATAAATATTTTGTCATTTTTGTTGATGATTATTCAAGGATTATGTGGCTCTATTTAATGAAAGAAATGAGTGAATTGTTTACCATTTTCCAAAAATTTTATATTGAGATTCGCAACCAATTTGGTGTTCACATTAAAATTTTTCGTTCCAATAATGGCCGTGAATATTTCTTTTCCTCATTTCAAGAATACCTAGACCAACATGGCATTATCCATAAGACTTCGTGTACTTACACCCCACAACAAAATGGGGTGGCTGAGAGGAAGAATCGTCATCTCTTGGAAACAGCTCGATCCCTCATGCATCACATGAATGTTCTCAAATCTTTTTGGAGTGATGCAGTGCTTACCTCTTGCTTCTTGATTAACCGGATGCCCATGTCTATCCTTGATGGTCATTCTCCATTCACCACATTGTTTCCTACTTTGTCTCTGTTTCCTCTTTCTCCTTGGGTTTTTGGGTGTGTTTGCTTCGTTCATAATCTGGGGCCAGGAAACGACAAGTTAGATGCACGATCTATTAAGTGCATCTTCCTTGGCTATTCCCGGACTCAGAAAGGTTTTAAGTGTTATCATCCTAGCTCTCGGTGTTCCTTTGTGTATGCTGATGTTACGTTCTTTGAGTCTACTTCATCTTTCTTGGGGTTCGGTGATGCTTCTTCCTCTTCATCACCTCCTCCCCTTCCTCTTCCAGTTGTGGATTCTGTTCCTCTTGTTCCAACTGTGACCAAGTCCTTTCCTCCGGTGCCACCACCTATTGAATGACCACCTATCCATCACGTGTATACACCGCCCACATGTACCGGCTCCTCCTCCAGCTCCATCATCGTCAATAGATTCGGCAGTTGTTCCCACACCAGCCCCAACCCCAGTATCTGATCTTGATCTTCCCATTGCCTTGCGGAAAGGTAAACGCAGTTGTACCCTTCATCCTATTTCTAATTATGTTTCCCTGACTCGCCTTTCCACTTCCCATCGCCAGTTTATCTCATTGTTATCCTCCGTTGTTATCCATAAGGATGTTCAGGAAGCCCTTGCCTCTCCAGGATGGTGCTATGCGATGGAAGAACTCTCAGCTCTGGCCCATAATCATACATGGGAACTCACCACTCTTCCTCTTGGTACGCAGGCTGTTGGTTGTAAGTGGGTTTATACAGATAAGTACTTACCTAATGGTAGTATAGAGTGGCTAAAAGCTAGACTGGTTGCCAAAAGTTATTTCCAAACCTATGGTATTGATTACACAGAGACTTTCTCCCCGGTTGCTAAGATTGGTTCAGTTCATGTTGTGGTTTCTCTTGCTGCGATGTATGATTGGCCCCTCTATCAGCTTGATATCAAGAATGC